TTGCGAAACGTATGCAATTGTTCCGGTTGTATTGACACGACCCGATAGACGGTCCATTTCGCCCAAGAATGCGGAAATGATCGAACTTTTTCCTGATCCAACTGTACCAACAATAGCAACCAAACTGCCATTCTTCACTTGCAAATTGATATCCTTCAGACATGGTTCGTCGTTTCCCCAGCTGAATGTTCCATTCTCAATTGAAAGAGGTGTTTCTATGGTCATAATTCCAGTAATAAACAAATTGGTTTGATTTAAAACAATTTTGTAGTTAGAAATTAATTCTTAATAATATGGTCCATACCGTCAGACGGGTCATGTGATACATTATGTGGATCCAATTCTTCGCTGTTCATAAATTTGTTGATTCTCTTCAAAGAAACACTAGCCTATATTTTAGATACGTTAGAATAGATTTGTGATAATGCATAAAAAGATAAAGTAAATCACATCTATATATACGTTACCTGGACCAAGTATGCAATCATCATTGGCAACACACTCAATGGGATCCGCATAATATCGAACAATGCAATACAAACGAATGCTCTTTCAGCAGTCAAAACATGATCTTCTCCAGTTAATACGTACGTAACGAATGTGACAAGTGACACCTTTTGTTGGATTTATAATTCATAAAGAGGATGATTTGAAAATTCATTTCACAAAATTATTTTATTGCAATCTGCTTAGCATTGAATGTTTTAAATCCAAATCATGTTCGAAAAAAGGACTCGCAAAAGTAGAAGAAAGTAAAATTACGCATACCAAAAATGGAGCACAAGTCCAAATGAATGATGTTCCTGAATTCAAATAAGCGATTTTTTTCAGAACCTTGAGTTCCTTTCCACGGATTTTTTGCACTTGCTCCCCGAAGCTTGGCTCCCAAGCATACATTTTAAGTACTTTCATTCCACTGAGAATTTCATTCATCATTTTGACACGCTCGTCTTTGTTTTTCATTTGGCGCATTTCAAGATTCAGTATGTTTTTGCTAATGATTCCATTCAGTGGGATTAAAATGATCATAACGGCCAAACCTGATTGGAAATGAATTGATATCATGAAGATGTTTTGTTTAAACCAAAGGGACGACACGTTTTGACGAAGTCTACGGCGAACTCATGAACTATCGAAAAGTCAATACAAAATGATACGAGAGTTCGTGGCGCTGCGAGCGCTCAAATGATGTTTGCACTGAAGTGTCGTCAGCTTGGTTTAAACTTTCAAAGTTCTACAGCTTACCGGCCAAAACAGAAGGCCCGAGCAAATCCCATAAGAAATAAATCGCCAATCCGATTATAATTGGTTCTGACCAAAGCATACTAATATAAGGAGCAATATCCATGAACCGTTGCGCATCGACAGCCATTAAGTTTACAATTTCACCGACCGTGGATTCTTTTGTGGCAGTGTTCGATAGACGAAGGGCCTTTTTGTAGATTGCTCCAACCAATACGGTACGAATACGCAAGCCAATAAAATACATACGTTGGTGATATTGGGAAAGGAACAAAGTCTGTGTGCTGGCCACAATGAATAAGAGCACGGCATAGAAAATACCATGCCATAATGGATCTTGGTCTGGATTTGTTATATAAGTAACGGTTTCAGTTCCATTTGCACTGTATGCTTGTTTTATTGTTGATTTATCAACAAAATTAATGATGGCACGAAGCAATTGTGGTAATACAAAGATTAAAAGATCTTGAATCAACTTCAGAATGGCACCAAACAAATATGCTGATCCAAATGCCATACAAATGGGCAGCAAAATGGAGGCGGTACGTTTTTTCTTTTGTTTGTGATTTATTGTTGGTGTATTCGTACTCGATGTATTGTCACTGAAGCTATTCTTGCTATGAAAAATGAATGAATAATAATTATTGGAAATCGACTAGGGGCATTTCTCACGAAAAGAATGAATGAATTCTTATAAATTTTGAAAAATTTCTTCCGTTCGGTCCGATTCGATCAATTTTTATCTATTCGTGTAAATAAATGTTCATTTACACTGAACTTGTGTTCTGGAAATGGGTTTTGGTGGATCTCAAGGATCGTTCAGAACTGCTCCCGGTTCTGGAAGTGGATCTTCAGGACAGGCCAGGGCATTGTCAAACCGGATCTGGTCCATCCTGAGGATCCACCAAAACCCACTTCCAGAATCGGAAGCAGTTCTGAACGATCCTTGAGATCCACTGAAACCTACTTCCAGAACACTTTTATTCAAGCAATATCGTCATTTCAGTACATTTTCTTACAATTTCAATAAAAAAGAAGAAATAATAGACATTTTTGCACATTTGCTCCAATTTTTTTTGTGAGAAATGCCCCTAGGAAATCGATGAATAAAATTTGATACGCGAAAATCTATATTTCAACTACTTACAGATTATAACCGGAAGCCTTGGCAACAGCTCGATCCCAGTATTTCAAGAAGAATGGCATCAATTCCTTTGACGAATCTTCTGGATTGATGTCCCACAAATCGCTCTCCTCAAGTGGTTTGCGATATCCTTTCCATGTCAACGGGTCAAACCAAGTGTACACAAGTCGTGACAGGAAACTAGCTCCCAGTTCTGGATATGGCTTATCCGATTTCGGATATTTGGTTTGACGCGGTTCGCGATCAGCATAGCAGT